TGTGCACTGCATGGTTTAGCCCCCCAGTAATGGCCCCAAAGGACTCTGGGAAGATGTAGGAATATACAGGACGCCCATCTCTGGAGAAGAGCTTTGTCTCCGACATCGTGGAACGGGACTTTACGTCTCAGCTGAACGCTACGCTCCCATACGCCACAAGGACAGAGCCAGGAGAGCAACCTCGCTGGATATCCATGTCGGGTTGTTATTTCAAAAATATTTGAATGTAGACCTAAGAGAGGATGAGTAGAACTGTCCCTCTACCTTTGCTGCAGTGATGTTCAGCTCTCGCAGCTGAGCCTTGAGGTCGGAGTTCATCTCCAGCTCGAGCAGAGCCTGCCAGGAGAAACAAGACAAATCATTCTTTAGTTTTATATAAATGCAACTTCCTGACACATGTACAAGCACAGCCATTATTCCTCATAACTGGACCTACTCTGGCAGTTTCTATACAGTTCATATTTCTGTTTACATGCAGAGAACAACCTGATTTCTGATCTACGACACTGACAGGTGATTTTCTGTGACTGTGATTAATACTTATATCAAAACAAATTCACACATTCCTTCTGGCATCCAATGTGCACTGCATGGTTTAGCCCCCCAGTAATGGCCCCAAAGGACTCTGGGAAGATGTAGGAATATACAGGACGCCCATCTCTGGAGAAGAGCTTTGTCTCCGACATCGTGGAACGGGACTTTACGTCTCAGCTGAACGCTACGCTCCCATACGCCACAAGGACAGAGCCAGGAGAGCAACCTCGCTGGATATCCATGTCGGGTTCACACACAATACACACATTCATCATCATCATATGTATACATCTTTCTCATACCAGGTTGTGGGAGAGGTCTGTTTTTATCTTTTAAAGTTTATCTATAAGGAAATATGTTGAACAAATCCAAGCCTCAAACGTCTGCATCTTAAAAAAATACTTCAAAATCACACCATATTTTATAGTAGGAAGCAGCATCACCAGCAATGAGGTAATGTGTGTTTCAGGGCAACACTGAAAGCCATATCTATTAGATTCAAGATCTGACAGCATCTCATCAAAACATCTCAGGATTCTCAACACAAACACACAACAAGCAGCTTGACAAACTCAAACATATGATTAAATGTGAAACCTGGTCTTCTTACCTGGGAGATCCCAGACTCGAACTCGTCAGGCTTTTCGCCATTAGGCTTCACTATTTTGGCGCTGGTACTGAACATGGCCGTTGTTTCTGTGGAGGTAAATAAAAACATGAAAGGTTAGATAAGCATCAACGGCATCTCAACACACTTATGCTATCTTGGTATCGTGGTGGAGCTCCATCAAACTAGCATGCATTTAGGCTAGGCTATGACCAGCTTAATGCTAATTGAGTACAGCAGGCTAAGTCACAACCCTAGCCAATATATGAACTTAAATAGTGATACTTTCAACATTAACCCCCAACATATCAAACAGCCACAAAGTAAGCTAGACTGTGTTACAAACAAACAGCATGTTAGCCACAAGCTAGCTCTGAGGGAGTTAGCATGTTTCAACTGCCATGTACCTCCGATACAACCGAGCTTCAGTGGTTAACGTGGCAAACAGAAGTATTCAGTCTTATTTCACACAAAACTAAACATACATAGAGCTTTGAATATCGAGTCTACTGCATTTACCGGGGAAACATTCTTTCTTTCTGAACACATGCACGGCCTGCTAAGCTAACTTCTGCCTCAGAACTCCCATCATACGGAGCTCCTCTACTACGCTTTATTCTCTCATATAAAACAGCCATCCGCATCCTCAAACTACATAATCTAACGTATCAGAGCCTTAATGTGCCTTACGAAGTGTTTACGCAACAATTAAACAACATTAAAGCACATTTTAGGATAGAAAGGCCAGTCCTGGGAAGAGTGGCACGACTAACCTGTGTCAACGACGGCCAAGGAAGAGGCCGGTTCATCGCGAGAGTTGTACTAATCCAATCCGGAGAGGTATTTACCCATCGCGAGATTTGACGCAGACCACGTTTCCAGTGCTGAGAGAACATCGCGAGAGTTGTATTTTTATTATTTTTTTGTATTATACTCAACTTTATTGAACGTTGCATTCGCGAGAGTTGACACAGACCACGAATCCAGTGATCGTAAAACATCGCGAGAGTTATTTAACAAACGTTTAATTTCAAATATGAAACTGTATTTTTCTTTATTTATATGTCTACCCCTGATGTGAACTTTGTTTTATACGAAACATATGATGTTCATATATGCTCTTGAATAAATAAATAAATAAATATGTGACGCAAAACAAAACCACCTTAAAAAAACGCCCAAAACATCGCGAGAGTTTGGCGAGAAAACGGACTGTCAAGCTTTCCTAACATTACTTTTGACTTTCCTTTCTTTGTTGCTTTACTTCGGACTTTCAAGACTACAACAGAGGTTAAACTACTATCAAATTGACAAAAAATACTTTGTCAGAGTCTGTGGGTATTTTTGTGACAATAACAGTGAGCAAACTGACTGTTGCTCACTGTTAGCAAACCAGCTAATAATAAGGATATTAGCTGGTTTTAGCATCCTTTTCTGGCTGTGGAGGTACACTTTTCTTTCTTTTTTAGAGCCAAACACACAGGGACCAGTCAGCTTTCTTTATAAATGATTGTTTAATTAGTTAAAGACACCATGATAGCCTCCCCAGCTGCGTTATGTTCAGACTGACTGGTGTTTTCAGAGCATTACGCAGGACTGTCTGCGGTGGAGCCGACGACATGCCGAAGGGCAAGTTTTACTTTGCTGTGAGGAAAGGCTTCAAACCAGGAGTGTACAGCACATGGTGAGACTGTCAGAAAATACTGTCTGTTTAGAAGAAAAATAACTCATTGATCCTGCACAGTGGGAGAGCAGGTGCAAACCAAACTCCATTTAAAAAAAAAAAAAACCTGGTCATTTAATGTGTTTTTGATCTTCTGTTAAACAGCACACGTGCTATAAAGGTCATTTTGAATGGTTTTGTAATCACAACAAACCATTTTTCAATTCGGCTTATGAACAATTCGGCTAAGAAACCATACAAACTGTCATTGATCTTGCAAAGTGGTAGAGGAGGTACAAACCAAACTCCATTCAGAAATCTGGTGATTTAAAGTGTTTTTGATCTTCTGTTAAACAACACACCTGCTAGAAAGTTCAATTTAAAGGGTTTTGGAAACGTAACAAACCATTCTTCAATTCGGCTTAGGAAAAATACAAGTTAAAAGTAACATATACTTATTCCCAGTATAAAATACCTATATTCTGAAGAGTATCTAAGAGTATACACTATAAAATATACAGAAGAAATGTGAATACTCTAATATATTTACTATAGGGACAGTAACATATAAACATGGTGTACTACATACATTAACAAGTTGTGCATAGTAGCTTTTAATGGAAGTTTTTCTCATCATTTGTGGGTTTTTGTAACTGTTATTCAGGGATGAATGTAAGGGCCAGGTGGACAAATTCCCCGCTGCCTCTTTCAAGAAGTTTGCATCAGAGAAAGATGCCTGGGCGTTCTTCAGAGGAGTCGACCCCTCTCCAGTTCCACAGGTGAAGAAAGGTAAGCTAATCCAGACGTGTGTGTGTTAAATTCATGCATAGTGTACAGTTCAGGATCAGGGCTATATCATTCCATACAGTCACCAAAACAAGCCGGGGTAGTCGATTTGAAATGGCATTTTGCAAGTTGTTCTCCTCACAATTTGTCCTATCGTTTCCAGTTTCTCAGAGCCTGCACTCGGCCCTCTCTCTGCTCCCTAAAAGAGGTCCGGAGCCTCTGGAGTACATCGCTCTCGGGAAGAAGAGAAGTCACTCGGACGAGGACGCACAGACACGTCCCAAACGAGTAAAACCGTCAGAAAGCTCGGCTGCAGTAAGCTCTGACGGATTCACATACATGGGTGAGCATCTCTAGAATGAGATAAATGTGAAGTCTAAATCGAGACACCTTTTGTCCGACTTGAATTGAAATATAAGATAAGATAAGAAGAACTTTATTGATCCCAAATTGGGAAATGTTTGTGTTGCAGTAGCATAAAAAAACATGGCATTGTACAATACAAATTAAAAGACTAAAAATAACCAAAAAAGTAGAAAATATACATGTTGAATTACAAACATTACAGTAACAAAATATAAAGCAAATATATAAGCATTTTTTGATTGAAAAACATGTGTATATCATCTGTTAACATGTTCTTTTGCTCCTAGTTCACGTGTTCTGCTCTGTCAAAGTTAAAGTTGAATAGAAGCTGAACTCCTGAACCCCGCGCTCTGTCTTCCCTTCACGCAGGCGATGCTGTTGTTGTTTACACCGACGGCGGCTGCACAGGAAACGGACAGAAAGGAGCAAAAGCTGGCATCGGAGTTTACTGGGGCCCCAACCACCCACTGTGAGAGCACACACACACACACACACACACACACACACACACACACACACACACACACACACACACACACACACACACACACACACATACACATACACATACACACACATACACACACATAATCTAAAACCCACAGGCCATAAGAATATTAAACAGCTGAACTTTTTAAAGAACATATATAAACATTCATCTGATTGCATTTAGCTAATTATTCATCTAATATATCATTCCATTTACTCTCCAAACATTCTCTTGCACTATTTTACCTGTTTTATTTGTTTTAATGTCCGATATATATATTCATGTTGCTCTGTTGGAAGAGCCTGGGACTTCAGTTTTTCATTGCCATATCTACACTGAAGCTACTGTGCACATGACGATGAAGCCTTGAAACTCGAAACTTCAATGACCTTGAAACCACATTTGAAGCTTATTTAGAATAATTTATTCCTGCTCTTCTGCAGAAATGTGGCAGATCCTCTGGAGGGAAGACAAACCAACCAGCGGGCAGAAATACAAGTGAGCATCTTCCCCTCACACATATTTCTACTACATACACTTTTTGTATCTTAGTAACTTATTTTACCCAGAAGGAGGATTTAAGTCACTAGTTGCTGGATCTTAAGTTTGCAAGGGAAACCTGTTGAGCATTTGTTAGCGGTTAGCTTGAAGCCTTTTGAGCATTTGTTAGCGGTTAGCTTGAAGCCTGTTGAGCATTTGTTAGCGGTTAGCTTGAAACCTGTTGAGCATTTGTTAGCGGTTAGCTTGAAGCCACTCACTCCTGTTTCGGAAAAAACACTAATATTAAACTTGAAAATACTAATTATTTTCCGGATTCATCGTTTGGTCTTTAAAATGTTATAAAATTGTTCAAATATGTCCATTGTAGTTTCTCAACTCACAGCTATGGCTTTAAAATGTCTTGCTTTTTCAGTCCAAATCCCACAAATATTTACTTTAACGTGATAAAGAAAACCGGGATAAGCAGGAAATATCAATATATAAATCTGAAAACAGCATCATGGGACATTTGTGTGTGAAAAAGTACATCAATCTAAATAGTTTTGGAGTGTTTTTCTATCAATTTAGCTGCAGCTCTAGTAGACATCTGAATCTTAAGTTATCTGAGAAACTACCTGAGCATTCGTTAGCTTGTAGCTTCTCACTCCTGTTGAAACTATTGGATTCATTTAGTTGTTGTTCACCAAAGTGGATAAAACAGTTCTGTGTGTGTGTGCGTGTGTGTGTGCGTGTGTGTGTGTGTGTGTGTGTGTGTGTGTGTGTGTGTGTGTAGGCAGCCTGTATGATCTGTGACGTGGACATCATCTGT